GATGATTAAATGGAAAGATAATTATTACTAATAAAATATATTTGGAATAATTATTTTTAAGGATAATTATCATAATATAACCGGTCCGGCCCAGTTATGACTTTTTCCTTATCAGAAGAGGACACGTGTCATCATCCTATTAATCCAACAAGCCTATAAATAGAGGCCTAGAGGAAGGAGGAAGGTACAAAAATTCAGAGTCCAGAAATCCAGAAGGTCCAGAAATTAAGAGAATCAGAAATCCAGACCAAGCACATCCAAAGTCGTGCCGTTCTTCAACAAATTCTTTCTTAAAACGAAGAACACCAAACATATCAAATCGTGCCATTCTTTATCCAAAATCCACAGTGATTCAAGATCAACCTCGTGCAGCCCTTGAATCCAATCAACCAAAAAGGAGATCGAATCAGAGGAATGTCTTCTTTGTAAAGAATATTATTACAGAGGATTATACTCAAATTTTCCAAATTAATAAATTTTTATTTGCTCCATATTTTGTTTCTATTTGCAAACTTACAAAATTTGTGTGTGCACTTCACTTCTCTCTAAAACGAGTCGATAAATATTGGTGAGTTTAAGATTATTATTTTTTATTTGTTAGCAAATAAAATTTTAAAACCTTCCTGAAAAAAAATAAAAATTAATTAATTAAAAAATTTAAAATTTAAAATAATTAAAATTAAAAAAAATAAAAAAAATAATTAAAAAAATAGTTAAAAAATAATAATTAATGAGTCCACGGGTCATAACGGGTTGACCCTATACATTTTTGACGCGCTCATTTTTAATCCGTTTTGAACGAGTTGAATACGAGTCTTCACCCATGTTTAACCCGCCCATTTTCAACCTAGTCCAAACCCGACCCGACCCGCCCATTTGCCACCCTTACATTAAACCACCAAATTTCTTTCACATAGCATATGAACTTAAGCCTATTTGGCTTCCTAAAAATTCTTCAATTGAGTTTGTTCTGTCACATGCATCATGTCATTTTTTGTATTCTAAAGTTTAAATATATTTTTTTCACTTGTGGTGCAAGGAACATGAGAAGGAATGGTTTCATTGTGTTTTTTAATCAGTTAATTAATTTTAATTTTGTACATTCTAAAAGGAAAAAGATTGTAGCTTCTGATAAAATCTCACTCGAAAATTGATAAGGACAAACATCATTAACTGCATGGGACTAGAGAAAAAGAGAAAACATTTAGACTTCGTTTGGATACACAGGAGAGAAAAGAAAGGAAAGGATTATTAGATAAAAGAAAATAAAAGAAAAGAAAGGAAATGATAGTTATAATTTATATTATGTTTAGATAGATAGGAAAGAAAAGAAAAGAATGGATAATATTGTTATTTGGATAATATAAAGGAGAGAAAAGAAAGGAAATGATAATAATTAAAATTACTATTTTACCCTTTTTGTGGGGTTAGTAGGGCAAATCAGCCAACCCAATGCCTCCATCTCTATTCTTGTTACTCACCCCCTTTCTCTGTTCAACTGCTAACTTGTATGTAATGGGTTTTGTTTTATTTATTTATTTATTTATTTTTCTAAATCAACTAACCAAGGTCTATAATTTATAGGCCCAAGGATGATAGCCACAAGAATATATATATATATATATATATATATATATATATATTTAGGGCGAATCATTTTAGCCTCCCCAATTGCCTCCATCTCTATTCTCGTTTTCAACTTTGAACTTGCCCTCTCTCTCTAGAACTGCAAACTACAAAATCTACAAGAATCAGAAGTTTAAAACCCATATATTGCAGTATGTATCGCCTCCATCTCTCTATTCTCGTTCTCAACTTATATATTTCAAAACCCATATATGTATCACCTCCATCTCTCTATTCTCGTTTTCAACTCTGAACTTGCCCTCTCTCTCTCTCTCCCTAACTGCAAACTATAAAATCTACAAGAATAAGAAGTTCAAAACCCACATATTTCAATATGTATCGCCTCCATCTCTCTATTCTCGTTCTTAACTCATATATTTCAAAACCTATATATGTATCGCCTCCATCTCTCTATTCTCGTTCTCAACTCTGAACTTGCCCTTTCTCTCTCTGCAACTGCAAACTAAAGGCTACTTTTGTCATTGTCTTACTTTCCTTTCAAATCCTTCCAAATCTTGTCAATTTTGGAGGGATACAATATGAAGGATTTGGAGAACTATCCCTCCAAATCCTTCCCAATCATTTCTTTTCTCTCCTATTCTCTTCATCCAAACAGACAAGTCACTATCATTCCCTTTCTTTTCTCTCCAAATCTCTCTGAATCCCTCAATCTAAGCAAAGCCTTAGATGGTTGATTTGGACTTTGGAGAGTAAAAATAAATTGGAAATTTGATAATTACCTTTTGTTTTTTTTTCTTGGGTGATATTGGTAATATTAATTTTGGAAATAAAAATAGGGAGAGAGTGATTTTGAGGTTTTTGGAAAGGAGATGAGTGGATTTGGCGGGTGACCGTTAAATTTAATCTAACACTATAGAAAGTGTGGATACTATTGTTTCTCGTTAAGTAAGAGATTACCACTACAATAAATATTTTTTTAAAACCGTATTTTTTATCTCCTCGGTAGTCCAGTAAAATGTTAACATATTAAAAAAAACAATAGAGATGTCGTTTAGATTATTTAATAATAAAAAAATCAAGATGCACCCGGTTTTCAAATAAGCCTAACGGGTATTTAAGTTAATTTTTATTTCAGTTACCTTTGAGCTAAACGTCGGTTTGGTAAGTCACCTCCTTGAATAGTTGATGAAATTTTTTTTTCTAAAAAATTAAAAAAATAGGTTTAATGCAAAAGACAAATTAAAAAAAGGATTTAATGTAGTTTACCCTATTAAATTTGATCAATGTCTTATTAAATTTGGAATTAATAAATGAGTGATAATACTCTGTCCGATCAAATTGTCACGTACTTACCTATATAGTTGATACATTATTTGGGCACTAAAGATACAAAAATAAATTTGGAAAGAAGCTGAAGAGGTTTTGATTCTTTCTCTCCGACTTATGGTTCATCATTACACTTCTTAATGAACTTTTGAATTTTTTATTTTATTTTATTTTTTTATTTTTTTTAATCAAGTCTTCAAAACTGATACAATATACGGAAGCGAAAATATATATTGAAAAAAAAAAATGTAAAAAATACCTTCAATCTTATTAGAGTTCGTTTTTTTTTTTTTTTTTTTTTTTTTTTTTTTGTTAAAGCAAACATATATATGTTTATTCTTCTTCGATTTTATGAACCAATATAAACTTCTCAATGCTTTATTTTTCCTTCAATTTTGTAAAGTGGAAAAGAGAAAATCGCGAGTAAGAGAGAGAAAGAATTAAGGAAGTAACAAAACAAAATTAGAGCAATAGAGAGGGGTAGTCGAAACTTTTTCAACTTCTTTCAATATTTATTTTTAGTATTTTTAACGCACAAATAAAATATAACTATTTAAATAATTAATAATAGTTACAAATAGAATTCAGAGTAAACCAATTTATTCGCACATAATATCATTGCCCTTAATAAATACATGGGGGAGATTTAATAAAATGGGCCGCCACTTTAGTCTTCCGCATTTGGAGTTGGGGCCGCTTTTTCGCGAGCCCCACTACCATTGAGCTTTACTCTGTCGAGTCCGGCACATTCATAAATGCATGCCAAAAAGTCTTGCATTACAGATACACACACTCCCCTACCGGTTCACTCTGTTGTCTCTACTCACTCTCTCTCCAACTGACGGATTGAACCCACTGCACCAATCGATTCCAAACACAAAAAGCCCTAGAAAATATCGTACAACTAGGTGAGCCCCTGTTTCTGTGCACAATACTAGTAATCATCACTCCTATTAGATAAGTACGTAATTATAAAGAAAATTGTGTAAATTTTTTTAATAATTTCGGTGGGGGCGGTATATATAACAAAATAAGTAAAATAATAAGGTATATTATTGAAAAAAAAAAACATTTAGTGAGAACAATCCTCCCCCACAAACTTGTATGTACATTCGTCCTTGTCTATTAACATGTAAGTAAATGTGTGAAATTTTTTGTTAGCATATTAATCAGTAATTGGTCAAAATTATTAAATCTTATACATTTTCAGCATTATTACTTATTTATCTAATACTGAAACAAACCATTTTTAAAAAATTCTATATGGTAACTATTTTAAGGCAGTCATCATAATTGTGCAATTCATTTTCAAATTTTAATCTTCAATTTAACATTGAGCTAGAGACATTCGTGTGGGAATAGATTTTTTTTTTTTTTTTTTTTACGAAAAAAAAAAAAACAATTTTTCATAGGATAGATTAAAAATGACCCAAGAATTGAAATTGTTAGGTTTTATTATTTTTGTCATAATTTTTAGTCGGGTAAGAGTCAACTCAAAGTGTAATTATTCAACTAAATGAATTGACGTAAGGGTCAACCCGCATTTTAATTCTTCAACTACATATAAATTAACCAAATTGCTCAACAATCAAATTATTTGTGCCTAATATATATATATATATATATATATATTCAGGTTGACCTGCCTATTAGTAAACAACACATTTATGACTACCACAAACGAATTATTAATGAGTTCTTAACCCCTCCAATAATAATCCTATCCAAGCCCGTCCATTTGTCAGCTCTTACAATTAAGTAAAAATGTTAAATTTTAATTTAAAAATACAATAATACATAATACAAACTATAATATATTGTAATAATTTTAAAACATTAACGCAACAACACTGAAGTAAATGTGTTGAATTTTAATTTAAATGTAATATATAAAAATATAAACGTTTAAATTTATAATTTAACTACTAACAATTATGCAGATGTAAAGATTATAAGTTTTTAAATTCACAACATTATCACATAATAATTTTAAGTTGATAATACAGCAATTACGTAAAAAATAAATAAATTCTAATATAAAAAGTATGGAAAATTCTGTTGCTATACGTATACATGTTTTTGAAATTAGTGAATTAGACAAACCAGCTTTCATGGGATTCCACAAGTTGCTCTGACTGAACCAATCTAGAGAGAGAAAGCAAAGCTGTTTGAAATAATTGACGATCTACTGAATCAAATCACACAAACCGGCTTTCATGATCCACGGGTTCCACAGGTTGCTCTCAACCAATCTAGAGAGAGAGAGAGGCAGAGATAGAGAGAGAAAGCAAGGTGTTTGAATCCAAAATCATGATCGGCAAGAAGAAAAGAAAAGTTAGAATCGAGTTGATCGACCGAATCAGTGACTTGCCTGATAGTATCGTCGGTCTCATACTCTCTTTCCTTCCCACCGAAGACGCCATTCGAACCTCTCTCCTCTCGAAGCGATGGAGACTCGCGTGGACTTCTCTCCCTAGTCTCTACTTCCGATTCGACTCGACCAAATCCAAACACATCATCAATGACGATTCCAGTTCCTTCGCATGGTTCGTCCATCGTGCCCTAACTCTCCGCCAGCGATCTCCGATCGACTCATTCCGATTCTCCGCGCACCTCGTCGTCGACGCAACCCTCATCGAGGAGTGTATACGCTACGCGATTCAACACAACGTCAAGGAGCTCAAGCTCCGCGTTCTCAGTAAACCTAGACCGGTTCGGATCGATTCGGGGATGTTGAGCCTGTGTAGGTCATTGACAGTGCTCAAACTCACATGCGGTATTCGCGACATTATAGTTTTGCCTAAAACATTGGGTTTGCCTGTTCTGAGGAGACTGCATATGAAGAATTTTGTGTTTTCTGAGAAAAATTATAATGGGGATTTCTTCTCGAGCTGTCCGAATCTTGAAATTCTGGTTCTGTGCAAGTGTATGATGAGTCCTCCAATTGAATTGAAGGTTCTGAACATACATGTTCCTCAATTGAAGGAGTTGGAGATACTGCATTGGAGATGTCCTTGGGTCCATTTCTATGAACAGAGCATTTCGGTTTCTGCACCGAGGCTCACTAGGTTGAAGTATGAGGGTCTCATTACGCCGCTGTGCTTTAAGCAAGAAATGTCTTGTCTAGACAGAGTTTGTATAGATTTGTGCTGCCCTGGTTCTTGCGTTACCGTCAATGAGCTTGAAAGAAAGCGAAAGACTGCAGAGAAATTGATTGCTATGCTTGGAGAGCTCTCTAGCGTGAGGTCTCTTACGTTATCCTTGAAGACGGTTGAGGTATTTTATTTACGTGCACCTCTTGTCTATGCACTTTCAATATGATCTTATTTGGCTTGCTTTCATGGTTAGGTTATTTTGACTGCTATTGGGAAAGTTAATAAATGTGTCTTGCTATATTAATTTGATTGCTTTGTAGAAGAATCAGTGGGACTATGGCTATAACTGCAAAATTCTATTATTTCATATTGTATTCATGGTAGTTTTTAACTAACATCCTGTAAAGTTTTGCTTTTGAAGATAAAACTATATTTGAGGAGATCAAATGGAAATAAACTTTTTATCTGATACCGCGTTATCGATAGGAGACAATCAAATCTTCTTCACAACAATATTGAAACAAAATAAAAGAATAATACAAGAGAAAGGAGAATTGAAAATCAAACTTTTGGTTGTGGTAAAATAATCTCTTTAACTAGTTATCAAACCCTAGCAATTACAAGGCTTTGTATAGAGTTCTTCCTCCTCAATCTTAGCCACAGATAGACTATAGTACCAAATATAAATTAAAAACCAAAATAGGAAAGTTGCTGAAAATTTGAAATAAATCAAAACTTGCTAGAAATTTTTGGTCCTTTTTTTGGGTGTTCCCAATGTTGTAGGATATTTTCTATAAAGTCCACAGATACATTAGTCTACCTAGGTTGGAAAGAACTCGCCCTCGAGTTTGGCTGCAAATAAAGTGGCTCGTATGAACAAGATTCCATACCATTGAAGACTTGATCTTCATGCTACAAAAACCTTGTTCCAATGTTTTCGGCCATTTTTCTTTCTTTTTTATCAACTTCTCAACGATTCACACCCAATACCACATGTGGCTGAACTTCACTAATAATGTCAAGATCGTAAATTTTAATTTCTTTGATGATTGTAAATTTTAATGCCTTTGATAAGAAATCAACATGAAAGATGTTTCCTTCAGTCTCTTTATTTTCTAAAGCATGCTTTTGAAATCCTTTAGTTCCGGTATAATCAGTTTGAACATCTGTATCAGAGACTTGATTTACAGAATTGTTGTTTGCCACTGTAGTTGCAGTTCAGAATAGTATTTGATAGAGGATTCTTAAAATCAATCCCATATATCACTCCAGTCAATATTCTATCATAGGCTATAATCACTCCTATGATATTCTCATATCAATATTCTATTAAGGAGTAATCCAAGGGTTCTTATAATAATATTCTCCGACACCTTCCCTAAAGTTGGTACACCGAGATTTTAAGTCAAGTGTCCAACTTGAAACTAAACATGAAGTTGTCAGACATGAGTTGATCCGAAGATCCAAGGCGAGACGAGTTGGTCCGAAGATCCAAAACAAGTTGATCCGGAGATCCAAGATGAGTTGATCCGGAGATCCAAGACGATTTGATCCGAAGATCCGAGATGAGTTGATCCGAAGATCCGAGACGAGTAGAGTAGAGTATAGAGTAGGGTATGATGAACCTGCTCCGATTCCATGTTGTAAAGTATAAAACATCTGTGAAGAGAAATTAAACGAGAAAAATACAAAGATATTATATGGTTCAGCCATTAGAGCCTACATCCACGGCACAAAGAGTCCAAAGGGCTACATCACTTTTATTATAATCTCTCAACTCATACACAATACAATGGTGGAGGCTTTTCTATATAGGAGAATAAATTACGAGAATAGAAAAGATAGAAAATAGGAAACAATGAGGATTTTTCTCCACTGATTCCTCTAATAACAACAAATCTTCAATAATAGGAGACTACATCAATTACTCGAGGATTTCCCTCCATAAATATTAAAGTTACACCCTCTCTAACAGTTTAAGCTTTAAGAGTAAATGGGTTGTTAACATGATAGAGTAGATGGGTTGTATACAATGATCACCTCTATTTATAGGTGAAAGAATACAAGTGATAAATATGGAAGGGGTGGGTGGTATTGTTGAGTCTCAACATGATAGGAGAGCAGCTTGTCCAGACAGAGATTGTAGATATTGTTGTTTTGGAGGAAATTTCGTGGCGACATAAATCTTGGGCTTTATGGTTTTAACAGGGAGACTGTAATACAAAAATTTTTCATAGAATTGCTAGTGCCCATAAGAGGGGTAATCATATTGGGCGGATTCAAGTGGACGGAACGATTTTGAGTACGGAGGAGGAGGTGCGTAGAGGGATTGTTTCTTTCTACCAGAGGCTCTACTCTTAGCCTTTACGTTGGAGGCCACGACTCGATGGCCTTCATTTTGACTCTATTTTAGCAGTGGATAGGGATGAGTTAGAGAGCCCCTTTTCAGAAGAGGAGGTTTTGAAGGCTTTGAAGAGCTGTAATGGTGACAAAGCTCCGAGTCCGGATGGTTTCATAATGAGGGTTTTATTGGAAAGCTAGGAGGTGGTCAGACTGGAGGTTATGGACACTTTTCATGAGTTCCATTCTAATGAGAGGTTCGAAAAGTCGCTGAATGCATCTTTCATTGCCCTAATTCCTAAAAGGGTGGTGCTTTTGATGTTAAGGATTTTAGACCCATAAGTTTGCTTAAGTGTATCTATAAGCTTATCGATAACGTCCTTGCGTTGAGATTGAGGGAGGTTCTAGACGGAGTCATTTCTGAATCTCAAAATGAGTTTATTGGTCCGCTCTCATTGGCAGTGAATGTGTGGATTATAGGCTGAGTCACGGTGCTCTTGGAGTTTTGTGTAAGCTTTAGGAGGTGGCTTCTCTTGCGGCGGTTTTAGGGTGTGGGATGAGCTCCTTCCCTATTTCTTATTTGGGCTTGCCGTTGGGTGATTCGTCATGGAGGGTGGGAAGTTGGGGCCCGGTGATAGAGCGTTTTGAGAGAAGGTTGGCTAGGTGGAAAAAATAATATCTTTTGTAGGGTGGAAAAGTTATTTTGGTGAAAAGTACATTGTCCAGTCTTCCAACTTATTATCTTTAGCTTTTGCAGATCCCTTCCTCTATTGTTGGAAGACTCGAGATGCTTCAACGGAACTTCCCCTGGGGCGGCCAGAGGGGGGCGTTTAAGTTTCATCTTGTCCGATGGGAGCAGATTTGTAGGCCTTTTCAGTTGGGCGGTCTTGGGATTAGGAGGTTGGTCCCTTTCAACAGAGCGCTCCTAGGCAAGTGGTTATGGAGATTCAGTAGCGAAAGCCATAGGTTATGGAGGAGGGTTATTTTGTGTTGCTTTGGGGAGGAGAGAGGGGGATGGTCATCTAGGCCGATCAGAACTGCTATTGGTATGGGGGTGTGGAAATTCATTCGGAAGGGATGGGATGGGATGAGTTCTCTAAGCATATTAGATTTAGAGTTCGGGAGGGAAAGGACGTCTGATTTTGGGAGGATACTTGGTGCGAGGATCGCCCATTGTCTTGTTTGTTCCCAAGGTTGTTTAGGATTGCTCTTGATAGATGTTATTTACTCAATAGTGGTAAATTTACTTGGGATGTGCGATTCCAGCTATCCTTTTGAGATTGGGAGTTGGACGACATGACTGGCTTGTTGGACCTTTTGTATAGACAGGAGGTGAATGGTACTTGTTCGGATTCCTTGACTTGGGTGCCTTCTCCGCAGGGGACTTTTCAGGTCCGTTTCTTTTTTCTTTACCTCTCCGAGTTTCACGGTTCCAATTTCCCGTGGAAAATGGTTTGGCATTCGAAGGCTCCACTCAAGGTGGCTTTTTTTTTGTTTGGTATGCAAATTTGGACAATTTGAGAAAGAGAAGACAAATCACAGTCAACTGGTGTTGTCTGTGTAAGAATGATGGAGAGTCTGTGGATCACCTTCTTTGGCATTGCCCCATGGCTCATGATTGCTGGAGTCTTATTTTTGGTTTGTTTGGCGTCCAATGGGTTATGCCCCAGACTTCAAGGGATTTGATTGACGTTTGGAGGGGCCACATCTTGGAGGGCGACCCCCCTCATTGTTTGGTTGAATCTTTGGAAAGAGCGGAATGGAAGATCTTTTGATGGGGAGGAATCCTCCATTCGGGCGTTGAAGTTTTCTATTATTAGTTCTCTTTTTAGTTGGGTGATGGGGATAAATTGTATATCTTTTGATGAAATCGTGGACTTTTAGGTTCTTTGGGTCCATAGGACAACTTTTTTGGTTTCAGTATTTGTATAGCTCTTGGGATGCATTCTCCTTTTGAATGCTTTCTAATACACTTCTACTTATAAAAAAAAAAAAATTTATATATTCTGTCAGAGTAATTCAAGGGTTCCTATAATAATATTCTCCAACAAAACTTTTAGTTGCTGTAAAATATTCATTTCAACTAGTTCTCACTCTTGCAATTACAAGGCATTCTATAGAATTTCTTCCTCCTCAACAAGAGCCATAGATTGGCTATACTACGAAGTATAATTTAAAACCAAAATAGGAAAGTTGCTGAAAATTGGAAATAACTCAAAACTTGCTCGAAATTTATGGTTCTCCTTGCCCTTCGTAATTCTTTCCTTTTTTAGTGTTCCCTTTAATTTCTTAGTCTAGTCTTCCCGGCAGATGGATTCTGCTACTTCTTTCCATTAGTTCTTTATATGGTATGAATTCGAATTAGTCAGTTCATTCAATATGAAAGCAAGTGGATCCTTGTAGCAGCTTTCAAATGACATATAACCTACGGGATAAGCTTAGAGAAATGTTTCATTTGCTGAGATACTGGATGCCTACTGAAAGAGGGGAATTGTACGCAAGAAAAGGGAGTAAGGGACAATCTTCTTGGACTGGCTTCCACCATATGAATACTAAGTCCACAAGTACATCATTTACTTACCCGATTCTGTTCACAACTACAAATAAAAAGGACTCTTTACAGGAGAGCTCTTGGCAATGATAAGAAAAGCACAAAAATAGTAAAATTGTAGAATTTAATAGCATAGGGATTATAAAATTTAATTGGCACAAAAAATTATAAAATTTATTAGTGAGATTAACTTCAAAACCAAATTATTAAAATATTTTTAATGGGTACATAGGGATTGACTGAATAGGATACCAACGTATCCATGGAGGATATGGATTTGGAGTTATAAA